TAGCTGAACCAGCCTTATAGAAATGAAGGTATTTGAAACTTGCTATGGAACTTATAATAATTTGATAACAAAATACGCAAACAAACACTCAATCATTTCATGCTTTTGATTTTTTTTAAAGTTGCGTAAAACTGCTGACGGTAAGCGATGTACCGTTTTAACAATCGTTCTCCACTCCGTTCTTATAGGATTGGATAAAAATTCCAGTCCTCAGCGATAATATTGTAAAACAGGATTGTGAAGAAATGTGAATGATAGACTCTCTTAGTAAATGAATTCTATTCAATGAAAAATAAACGATATATGTAGACTAATATCTCTTACAGAGCCAACTTATGGAAAAATTTTAAGATCTAATTTCAGTTTTAATGGCTATATTCGAACAAATAAAATCTTTCTGCACCAAAGACTCTAGTTTTCCACAATAAAAGTAATAACGCATTTATTTATCAATTACATTAAACAGACTACCTACTTTTCTTTTTGAAGCATGATTTTTCAATGTTATACCGTTTGAAAATTTTAACGGCTTTACATTTCACATGTTTAAATGCTGTGCATAATTCATTGAATATTATATGATGAAAATTAAATTGAGAAAATGTGTTCTAAATGAATAAACACAGAGTAGCATGTTGCAGGAAACTTAAAACATAATTATTTTTTCAAACGAATAAATGTTTGCAACAGAATCTTTTTGATGAGAATAAGCATTTAAACGGATCAATTGGAAGTATTCTGCATTAGGCGCAATCACACTGAAAGATGTCAATATTCATGTGCCTAAGGTATTTTCTAGCAGAGCTTGTTGCTCTACAAAGTGATGCTAGATATACGAAAAAGATATTCGGTACGTTTTAACCTTTATATATATCTAACTTTCATGTTATATATCATCAAATAATTTAGTAGAGTTTTTCAGTCATTCTCAGACTTTTTTTAGTCTTTCTCAGTCTTTTTTTACTCATTCTCAGTCTTTCCAAGTCTTTTTTAGTCTTTCTTAGTTTTTCCAAGTCTTTCTCAGTCTTTCTCAGTCTTTCTCATAAAATTGAGAATGGAAATGGGGAATGCGTCAAATAGACAACAACCCGACCAAAGAGCAGAAAACAGCCCAAGACCACCATTAGGTCTTCAACACAGCGAGAAAATACCGCACCCGGAGGCGATCTTATCTGTCGGATGGTTCCCCCCATTAATAATTGTTCTTACCGGATGATTTGTTTTGTGCAATTTTGGATTTGCTTGTACTTTTCCAGGACATGTTCCTTTCGGTAGTAGATATTTTTTCATGTCTTTGTCTATTATTTCTCTTTTACATAAATTTTCTACAAGTTTCTTTACTTTATTTTCATTTTTCTGTGTGAGATCTTTATCTATTGCTTTGTAAGTATCGTTGTTATTTAATTCTTTTTCGACTTCTAGTTTATAGTCTTTTGTGTTCATTATAACAACGCCGGAGGATTTATCGCTCGGTCGTATCACGATGCTTGTATCATATAACAGTTCTCGCATTGCCTTTTCTTCTTCTGTAGTAATATTCATATTAAATTTTCGGCTCAATCTACTGTAAATTTTCATCTTTTGCGGTCTGAATATATTCGTCTAACCATCGTTCTCTTCCGGGTGAGGGTTTGAAATTACTTGATTTTTTGAATTTAGAATATTCGTTTTGGCAATTTTCTTTTTCCTCGTTTTCTTAAAAAAAATATTCGCGAAGACGCATTCTTCTTTCCCATATTTTCAAATTGGCTATAAGTTTTCCCATGTCTAATTTTCTTCTAGTTGGCACAAACTTAAAACCTTTCGACAATAATGTTTTTTGTGCGTTCGTTAGTTCTTTTGATGATTTATTTAGTAACTTCACATTTTGGGTCGCGGTTTTGTTTATTTATTTTATCTTTTGACTCTTTTAATTCGTCTCTTAATTTTGTATTTGTTTCTTTTACTAAATTAGGTTTGTTAATAGGATTGCGTGTACACGGTCTAGGAATATTTTGTACAAGCGAAAAATTGTTGTTTTCATGTAGTATTGTAATATACGGCATGCCATGGTTGCAATGTTTATTTCTTGAAAATTGGTTCCATTTAGCTATGAGACCGACTTTAGTTTTGATAAAAAAATCAACATTGTATGTTTCACTAGCTGCTATAATTTCTGCTTCCGTAGCCCATGATGAGGAGTATTCATTCGTTTTTGAAGTGTTATTTATATGGGTATCATAACCACCGTCAATAAATTTCGTATAAAAGTTTTTGTTTGTTGAAATTGTTGTCAAAATATGATGACGTATATCTTCATGTCTTTCTTGGGTGTCGAATAAATATTTTGAGATGCATCTAAAAAAGCAATTCCCGTCTTTTATTATGTCTATATTTTGCTCTTTAATCGGGTTAGTTCTAGTTTGAATATCTGTTGTTGATCTTTTGTTGTTGTGTAATTCGTAGCTTTGATATTTTAATGCTGAGATTTTTTTGCTCTTCGTTCTTGTAATTTTGTCTACTATTTTACTATTCATTCTCATGATTCTGTTGAATTTCTTGTAAGATATCAATTCCAAAAATGTTTATGATGTTGCTGTGTATTTGTGTTAATTTGTTATCAACTTCTTGAAGTTGTGTAGCACATACCTTTATACTTTCTTTGATTATCTGCTATGAAGAGTTCTCTAAGATATTATTTACATTTTCATGATGACTGGCGTCCACTTTACCTACATTTAATGTACACTTTAAATTAAATCCCTTTGGTATGATTTTAAGTCTATCACAGATTTCCAAAAATGAAAGGTGACTTCCGTAACGGCATTTCTTTTCACATAACTTAACTAGTCTTCTCCAACTCTCTATGTTTCCAACAGATTGCAATTGTGTGTATTCCATGCTGTTTGATGTTTATATATAAAGTCTCTGAATGATTGTATAATTAAAACTATAACACAATTTTCCATACGTTTCGGCCATAACGGCCTTCTTCATTGGAATAAATTACAACATTGAAACAACAATTACATAGCTTGGATACATTACGTTATAACAACTACTATGACGTTCATTTGCCACGTTTTTTTTTCTTTATTTATAAATATTTTCACTATCGTTCATACATTGTGTTGAGTCCATCAGGCTCTAAAGTTTTTAATTTTTTTTATCGAAAAGGCTTCTTTAGATTTTCTCTAAATTTCTGTTCTAAATACTCTTTCTATGGCGGTAACTTTTAAATTTTTCATCGAATGATTATGCTGAATGAAGTGGTTTGCTACCGGATCGTCTGTTTTGTTTGTTCGTATTTTTGAAAAGTTCAATAGCATCCGTTGATAAAGTGTATCACCCGTTTGTCCTACATATATAAGTTTTTCGCATTTTGTACAGTTAATTGCATATACGCCCACGGTTTTACAGTTTATTTGTCCCTGAATGGTATATTCTTTCCCGGTGTTGTCACAAAATACCTTGGTTTCATTTATGTGTGAGCATAATGCACAGTTTTTATCGCATGATCCACAGCCATTAGTTTGTTTATACAATAGTAAATTGTGCTTCTTGTGCACTAAGATGTCTTTTATGTTGTTGTCGCGTTTAAATGCTACGATAAGCGGATCGGGGAATATTTTCTTTAGCCCGTTACATTGATGGAGAATTTTAAGATTTTTTCTGAGAATTGAATGTATATTTGGAAGCGCTTTGGAAAAAGTAATCACCAAGGGTACTCTGTCGTTTTCTTTCTTTGGTTTGTACTGTAATAGATCGTCTCGGTTTAGAATGTCGACTTTCTTGAGAAAAAAAATTTCTTGGTAGAGGGTGTAAATACAACTCTGGCCTTTGTTAGTCTTGTATCTTTTTTAATTTTAGTTTCTTGTGTATAATTTGGAGTTTAGTATGACGTCCTTTATCACTGAACTAGTATACATATTTGTTTAGGGGCCAGCTGAAGGACGCCTCCGGTTGCAGGAGTTTCTCGCTACATTGAAGACCCATTGGTGGCCTTCGGCTGTTGTCTGCTCTATGGTCGGGTTGTTGTCTCTTTGACACATTCCCCATTTCCATTCTCAATTTTAACATTTTCCAAAAGACCAAAAAAGTGAAAAAGTATATTTAAACAAAACGCATTTGACTAGCAGGTCGAACAACGGATGGTCTTAAACCCTGCTAACTGCCATTGGCGATTGCCAAATAAACGGATCACCAGATTTAACAAAATGGATCTTAACTATTAATTTAATTCCAAACAGAAAACAATAAACTTGCAGAAAAGATGATATACCGCAAACAAAAGGTGAAAAATTAGTACACCATATCCGGATTTCGACAATTAATGTCTCTTCAGTGATGTTAGGAATCGAAACTGTATTTGGAAGACCATATAATGGACCTCAATTTAGGATAGACTCTTGAATTTTGAAGAGTCGAAATAGAATGAACGGATCATATAAACCCGAAGCCAAATATAATACAAGCCCAAACGTAAAAATATAAACAAGTCTAAATTGAAAACAACGTTCAAACCTATGATTGCGTTGGATAAAAACAGCAATTTTCATACGTGTGCATGCAAAACAAATTTCGTGGTAGAGGGGTCTAAACAGCACAAACAACATTTTCCAAAAGACCAAAAAAAGTTAAAAAGTATATTTGACGCATTTGACTAGCAGGTCGAACAACTGATGTTCTCTAAGATATGTCTATATATATAAAGATATGTATAGATGAATAATAGATATATTGCTAATAGTGTGCCTTTAGTCTCCCTGACATATTCAGTTGTTTTGATTCGACGTCCATTGGTTACCCTAATGAAGACGAAACGCTCGTCTGGGGTATCGAATTATAAGCATGGAATATTTGATGATTGTTTAGTACGGATAATTTGGAGTGGGTAATGGTATCTTTCATTAGTTGAAGTATGGATTATTTGGAGTGGTTAATGTTATCTTTGATTCGATTTCGTTACAAATAATTTGGAGTGATCAATGGTTTCTTTGGTGCTTTTTAGTACTATCAATATGGAGTGGCCAATTGTACCTTCAGGAGGATTTATAGCGCAAATGGTAATACGACTCAATGGTCTGGAAGGGGTTTACAGAATAAGGAATCATTAGTCAAATCTATAGGAAATTGGACAATAAAATATTTAAGAATATAGAAAAAAAACAGGGCAAAAAATAAAGAATAAATAATAATGTGTGCTAAAATTCAAATAATAGACGATAATAGGGGAAAATATAAAGAATAACAGAAATTACCTTAAACATACAGAAATGAAGAACTATGCCCTCATGCTGATTGATCAGCCTAGATGTATCACGTTGTTATTCAGTTTTATAAAGGATTTCGTATTTATTGATATCCTCCTGTTTAATTTAAAGCACCACCCAATATCCCACAATTTAAAAAGGGCTTTTGCCAGATCATTTTTATGACAATAAAAACAACTTTATATAAACATTATACATGACAATGGCAATTTAGGAAAGTAAAGAATAATATTTCATAAAACAATTTCAATTGATCAATTTTAGAAATAGGACTTCCTGGACCGCCTGGACCGCCTGGACTGCCTGGACATGGCATGCCTGGTCCTCAAGGTAAGACGTACTAGAAATGAATATGTATAGAGCGGAAATATATTTTATGCATTACGTGTTCCATCAATATGTTTATGGTAAGAGTTAACTTTAAGGAATTATACTTTTTATCTTTTATAAATCCACCATGTCCAACTTTTGAAATATTTTCGAAAAAAAATCGCTTGTTTAAAAAAATGCTGAAAATTGAATCGATATATTGCACGTATTTGTTGTCTTAATTTTTCGAATGGTGCATGAAAATATGAAAAGTAAACCAAGCAACCGGTATTTCCTTTTATTCATAGCTAGTGAATTGAACTAATTTCATTCATATTTTATAGGAAAAAGAGGATATACTGGACAAATTGGACCTCCCGGATCCAAGGGAAATAGGGGGTACCCTGGACATGCTGGATCTCAAGGGTTAACTGGACCGACCGGTTCTAGAGGCCACATTGGACTTTCAGGACCAAATGGAGAAACGGGACCTGCTGGACCTGCTGGACCAATTGGACCTATTGGTTCCTCTGGGGTCTCTGGTCCTCATGGTTCAACTGGACATGCTGGACCAACTGGACCAAAAGGGCTAAATGGACAAACAGGATTGTCTGGACCTGCAGGACCTCGAGGAGAAACTGGAGAGTATGGTCCAAAAGGAATGACTGGGAAAACAGGACTTCCTGGGCCTTCTGGTCCTATTGGACCTTTTGGTCCTAGCGGACCAACAGGGCCTAGAGGAATACAAGGAACTCAAGGTAATACTGGACCCACTGGAGCTTCTGGACCAAATGGGCCTACTGGATCAACAGGACAATCAGGACCCCCTGGTCCAACTGGGCCATTCGGACCATCTGGTCCTATTGGACCAATTGGACCTATTGGAAAAACGGGACCTTCTGGACCGCCTGGTCCCACAGGATCACCAGGACCATTTGGACCTTCTGGTCCCACAGGACCACCGGGACCATCTGGAACTCCTCACCTAGGTAAGAATTAAAAATTATATTTATAATAGGAAAGGGACTGATATTTGGAGGGGGAGGAAACATCTGAATTTCTCTTATTTTGTCAAGTCCTCACCTGAATGAAGATTTTATACCAAAATGTGTTACTCTGGTTCAATTGGATAACAAATTCGGGCATCACAGGTAGTAATAGAAATTAAGGTACCAGTTTTTCTACACTAGATACACATTTCGACAATTAATATATCCCCAGTGATGATCGAGGCCAAACTGTAATTGAAAATTCAAAGCTTAATGAACAAAAAGTGAGAAGTTGATAAACAAACACGAACCAAAAGTAAAGCAAAACCAAAAAGAATCAAAACTGTAAATGAAGGAGATACATTTCATTATTTAAAATGATTTTCAAAATTTTCCTAACAATTAAATTTCGAAAACATTTGATCTGTATTTTCACGCAAGTACTGAAGTGCTAGCTACTTGGCTGCTTATACTCCTTTGGAATTACATTGCACACATTGAATCAGCAATGGTATCGACCCAGTAGTATAATACCAATAAGGTACCAGTTTTACTTCACCAAATGCGCATTTAGACGATTGATGTTTCTTTTGTTATAGATTTTGTACTCGTTGCAAATATATTTGAAATCCAAAACTTAAAAGAAAAGTTGAAGAGCTGATGAAACCAGAAAGTACAGAGTAAAAAAAAAAAACAAACTGAAAAATGATTTGCCATTTTTTTAAGCATTTTGATGTTAGTATTGAAGTAGTGGCTAACGGGCTAGTGGTACCTTCGTGGACTAACAGTCCACCAACAGAGCAGAGGTACCGACACAGTGGAAGTAATTACAATAACGGTACTAACAATTGATGTGCATTTCGACAGTTAATGTCTATCCAGACTATATCATCGTGGACTAAAAATCCACCAACCGAGATATCGACACAGTGGTGATCCTCAAGGCCAAAATATTTGAAATTATAAACCTAATACAAGTGTTCAAGAGATTATAAAACCAAAACAGATCAAAATTATACAAAACCCAACCTCGGAATTAGAGAATTCTCTTAAAAACATACCTTCATACGAATTAATTTTAACAAAGATTTTTTAAGAATTTTCAGAAAAAAGTAAATATCGCTTCATACACAATCTTTCTTACAATATTTAATAACGATTTTGTTGTCGTTAAAGGAGCCCAAGTCAGAAAAAGCGAAACACGTAAAGATAAAACTAATTGGCAAATACTTGTACATATAAAAGCAGGAAAATAAGTTAATCATTTCAAAAGAATCATTAGTTAAAAACAGCAAGCTTAAACAATTTTGGTGACTTAAGAAAGAAGTCATAAAAATGGCCATAAAATAAACTTAGATATTGTTGAGTGAAGTTTATAAGTATTACAACTCGTAAAAACCCAAAAGCAAATGTGGGTGTGAATAAAGAAACTACTGATCTTTTTCCTGGAAGATGAATTATCTTTTTTTGCTGTTTTTCATATTTGTTTTATGTTTATTGTTTTGCATAGTTTGATTTTTTGTTGTGCCGTTACACCACTGTCCCAGGTAAAAGGAGGATTAGCGCCTTTAAACATGTTTAACCCCGCCATATTCTATATGTGCCTGTCCCAAGTCAGGAGCCTGTACGTCAGTGGTTGTTTTTGGTTCTTGCCTATTATTTTTGTTTTTCGTAAATTGTTTTGTAATAAATTATGCCGTCAGATTTCTCCATTGAATTGTTTCATGTTTTGCATTTCGGTGCCTTTCATGGGCGACTATACGGTATGGGTTTGAACTTTGATGGATAGTTGTCACAGTGAAATGGATTCGAATCATCTGTTGTTACCTGTCATTTGCGTATTTGTATTTCACTCTTTTTACTACCTTGTTCGTTTATGTTTGACTGGTTTCTTAATGCTTCTGAGCACGCTTCTTTTTTTTTTTGAAATTTACTATGAGGAAGGATTGTATCAGACACCAAGTTTCCTAAAATTCTTATTAATCAGTCTTTTGACTGATTGAATTGAAGTGGGGTTGAGTAATGCAAATACAGGACAGCCGATATTGAAACATCAAGTGCATTGAATATGAATGAGAAAAAGAAGTTTCACAAACATACTGAACCCCAAGGCATATTCAAAAAGGGACAGTCCAAAAAAACAGACAAAATCAAACTCTATTAATCAACGGAACAAGTGAAAACAACAGGCATTTTCGGAAAAAATAGTGTGGATTAAACGTGGTTTTATAGCTAGCTAACCTCGCATTTGTATATATATTCAAAAATAAGATTATAATGCTTCATTGGATATTTTCAGGATTTCTATAATTATATGAGTATCTGATACACGCAGTTCTTTTAACAGAGTGTGGCTCAAATGGATTCCAGTATTACGGAGAAACGACCACTTGTATAAAGCTAGTATCAACAAGAGAAATTACATGGAAGAACGCTAGAAAATATTGTCAAGAACAAGAAGGTGGTGACTTAGTAAGCATAATTTCAAAGGCAAAATGGGATTTCATCATAGAAAACTTTAAAAGTAAGTTTTAGTAAAAATAAGAAAATACTGGAGGACATTTAAAACTCGTTAATCGAATAAGGAAGGACTAAAATAGAATTAAGAAATACTTAAAAAAAAAATTAAAAAAATAGTCAACAAAACACTAGACGGAAAAGAAAACAATGAGGAACATGTTACTCGCCTACAGCCATAGATAAGCTCAATCAATTTACAGTTAATGATGCACTACCCTTACTGTTCATTGTCGCTAAATATTTGGTTGCAATAATGGCCCAAGGTGAATTACATTCATAAGTTTTTTCAATAAATGTATTTCAAGTCTTAAAAAAAATCAAGTTTCAGTATTTAGCGATTGTTTTTTGTTTATTTTTGGAAAGTCTGTGTCTTTATTATTCTCTCTGCTTTTAACACAAAAATAGATAAATGTATAACCAAAAATGTTCATGTGATGTTGAAAAACATTATATAGTTAAAATGAAAAGTTGGATGATGTCCTATAGATAAATATTATTCTAAACCTAGTTTTAATCGCCACCTAAAGTTTCTTGGTAACAGCGAATCTCGTAATGGTAAACTTTCCTAATGAAAATAACTGGAGATTCAAGAAATTCTTAGTTACCGTGGCTATACTGTTGATTGAACTGGTTTTCCGAAAATAAAAATCATAATTATGATGAACTCGGCATGTTTTAATTAGAAAAGAACGCCGATATTACCCACTAATTTGTCATTTTCATTTTGTTTATTCAGGCGTTGGATCTGTATGGATAGGGCTAAAAGATAAAACATGGTTGACCGGTGAAAGTTTCAGCAACATTTACGGGGTTACGATACAACTTAATAATTTCGATGCTGGTTACCCATCGGAAGTAGAAAACTCATGCGGCATACTAAAGCCATTGAGAACTACACCACTCCAAGATGAAAACTGTAATATTCGTGAAAGGCCAAGATTTCTTTGTGAAATCGTTATGTCGTAAATTTAGACTTACTGTTTATTACTTTTTAAATGAATATAAATAAACTCATTAGAGATACCAGGATTAGTGACTCTCGAATTAAAAATGAACAATTTAAAAAAGGCCAAATAAAGTAAGAGCATTAAAGAAACAAAGTTTCGAAAGGTTTTTCCAAATACATTTAAGGTTATAAATTCCTGATGTAGAATATTTGGTTCTTTCCGCAACAACAATCCATACAGCTTAAAAATTAAATATAATTTGTATGTACATCAAGTTTCCCATTCTATAACTTCCTTTTTATTTGACAATATTTGTAGAAATTACTTTTGTAATACAATGATACCTTGTGATCACAAAATCTCAATGATGTCTATGACTGTTTGACTGTTCGCCAGAGAGCTTTTAAATTAATACACGGTATTTACAAGCATTCGACCAACAACGATAAGTAATGTAAAATTCTGCTTTAAATATATGTAATAATTTCAAAAATCTAAATACAGAAAAAAACGCCTTTCAAACTGACCCGTTTAACAGAACACTTTTCTTTGTATGAGTTATCTCCCCAAACACTGTTTTTCTTTTGATCGCAAACGAAAAAAAATTCAAAATTGCTCGTTATATCCTCAGGTTGTCGAAATAACTTTTGACCGAAGCGATCCGGAGACTCCATAAGAGAGTTATTTCCCCTTATGAAATTGATATAATTGAAATGTATTTGTCACTGATAAACCATAAGTGATAGACACCTAGGGTCATTTGATTTGAGGTCCAAGGTCCACCAAAATGAAACTGAGTTCAAGGTCAAAGGACAAGGTCATGTTCTAAATTTTGATTTTGGTTAATTATTGCTTCTCCTCAGAAACCATATCAGATAGCGACAAAATATTTTAACTAAATTGTTAGCTGCAACATGTCGTAACATATATATTTTGGTTAAAAAGGTGCGTCGACATTAAATGGGAGTTCCCTCCCCTCTTATGTTTAGAATTAGCTGTATTTGGATATAACTCATTAACTATATACAGAAGGGGCTTATAGTCATTTGATTTAAGGTCCTTGCTTTATGACTTTGAAATTTAGGTCAAGGTCAAAGGTTAATTTGACATTATAGATCTTGACCTTTGCTAAAAATTCATATTAATACGCGATAAAGCTATGGGAACTTTGCATTAGTTTGGTAGACGTATGACGTTGAAATGCTCAGCCGGAAGTGACCTTTTGTAAACCGGAAGTAGCCATTTCCTGCACTGATTTCATTCAAAAGTACCTAAAACCATATATTTTTGGAATCAGTGTGAAGTGACCTATCATATGGTACTGGAAGTGAAATTTTTAAACAGGAAGTTGCAATTTATCTCCCCTATTTCAAGCAAAGGTATATAGAAACCATATATTTTTGGAATCAGTATGACTAAAGCTTTCATATGAGGCCAAAAGTAACATTTTCTAAAACTGATGTAGTATATCATATCTATTGTTCAGACAAAAGTACATAGAAATCATATAGTTTTTGAATCAGTATGAAGAAACCTATGATTTGTATTTGACACCAATAGTAACTTTGAGTAAACTGCAGGTACCTTATTCATTATTTAGAAATTTAATGTGGAAAGACCTTCAATTGTTCTCTGGTTTTTATTTTTTTTTCTTCCGCCACTTTTAATTCTTGCGAGAAGATTTATTTCGCAACAACCGTATAGTATATTGACACAATATTTTACTTAATTGTTAGTGACGACAAGTCGCAATACATATACTTTGGTTAAAAGGGTACGTTTGACGTTCTAGATTTTGACCTTTGCAATCAATCAATATTTATACTGGATAAAGATCTGTTTCTTTTAAATTAGGATGGTAGATATACGACCTTAAAAAGATCAACCGGAAGTGACCTTTTGAAAACCGGAAGTAATTACTTCCTACACTGATTTCAATTAAAATGACAAACAACCATATATTTTTGGAATCAGTGTGGAGTAACCTTAATCAGATGGTACCGGAAGTGATTTTTTTAAATCTGATGTTAAATTTATCTCCCCTATTTAAAGTAAAAGCATAGAAACCATATATTTTTGGAATCAGATTGACTAAAGCTATCATATGACACTGGAAATGACATTTTCTAAACCTGAAGAAACAAATTATCTCCCTTATTTCAGACAAAAGTAAATAGAAACCATATATTTTTTAATCAGTATGAAATAAACTTATAATTTGACACCAATAGTAATTTTAAGTAAACTGCAGGTAACTTCTTATCAATTATTTAAAAATAATGTGGAAAGACCTTCAATTGTTCTCTGAACAATTAGTTTTTAGTTATGTATAATTATTGTTTTACACCAAGAAAACATCTGCTATAGTTAAATCCATATTATCATAATCATTATCATTATTGTTTTGTTTTTTTAACTTATGTCTATTTGTAATTATACGTAGCATGCATTTTATGGGCCGATAATTGGTTTAATATAGTTTTCGAATTCGTATTCGTACATGGTATGATTATATATCATTATATGAAGCTAACCATACTATACTGTCATTTGGATTTGACAACTCTTGTTAGAGTTGACATTGTACTTTTAACTCAATGAACCCTTTCGCCAATGACAATGTTCACCCGAACACTGGAACGCCATTGTTTTTATATTTTGTGGTATTGATCATCCTGTTTATTATTTTAACTTGACAATCTTTGTTTTTTTATTTTTAATTTTGATAGATTTTTCTAGTATTGTAACATAATGACATCTTATCTCCTCTGAGACTGTTTGCCCGCATGTTGGTATAGCAGATTGTTTGTATTTATAACACCCAGTCCTTGATAGAACCATACAAAAGGCTTATACGTGGGTCCACATGACATGTCAACCAAATGAAATGAAATTTTACACATATGTTATGATAGTCAAGAGAAAAAACATTTTAACTTCAAAATTTGATTTTAGGCTATTTTTAGATTTTGCAGCGCCATCTACAGGAAAAGGCTAAATTTCTTAAAATTTCCACTAAAATGTCACATTTCTGTTACTCTGAATAGGCTACTGTAAATTCAGAAATTATTGCGTGCATTAATTACTGCAATTTTTGAAGAATGGACAAATATGCGAGATTAATTATTGCGATTTAAGGGAAATTTGCATCCAGATATATGTATCAGATATCAGAATGCGAGTTCTTATTATTGCGATCCTCACCTATTCGCATTTTTCGCATTAATAAAAACCTCGCAATAATTTCTGAATTAACAGTATGTATTGTTATGTTTAACTGGTATTTATATGTATTGTTATGTTTAACTGGGATTTTTATAACAAGCATCATTTGACCTTCAAAACTTGACAATAATGTTAAAGCTTGAGTAAAGCTGTATTTTTGGGCTGACCGGTCTGAAAAGGGCATTTGGTGCATTTTTTGGATACTTGCTAAATAGATAGAAAAAAAAACACGAAATCTTTTAAAGTACTTTGATTTTTTCAATGTTTTAAATATTTCTATGAAGGTTTACATGTGTGCTACCAATTTTATAATTTTAGAGCTGGGGTTTCTTCACTGTTACCATGGCAACTGAATAAACATGTGTAATTTTCACGTATTTTTCACAATAATCTGTGTATTTAATCATGAACACTTATTTATCTTTTGACGCTGACTTATTGATTTGGCATGAAGGTGTATTACAATATTTTAATATTTGACACAGAAGTGCAGCACCTCAATACAATGTGTCGCGTACCATGGATGATGTCGTTGATCTTTGACCTTCAAAGCAAAATAAAAAGTCAAGGTCAAATATTTAATTTTTAATATGTCACCCTAAAACCAAACATATTCTT